CAGCTTCAAGGGCTGTGAGCATTGTTTCTTGTGGCTGAATCACTCTGCTTTTGCCTGTATTTTTCATATGCCCTTCTCTTTTGTGTTATATCTTCTAAGGACATTTTGCATTAGATTTCGGTCCACCAGTTTAACCCAGGGTGTTATACCCTGAAGATACCTAACTTACTTATATCTGCAATGACTTCTTCACCAACTAAGGTCACATTCAAAAATTTTGGAATATGGATACATCTTTGGAGAGCCACAATTCATATTTGGTTACAAAATGCTTTCTATACAAACAATTAGATTTTCAAAATAAACATTTACTTTCAGTTCTCTATGTTAACATTCTGAACTACACTTATTATTGTTTAAACAAACAAACTGAAGAATCAAGGAAAAGTTGTTATATTAAAATTTGAATTCCTTGGTTTGGATACAAATATTTACTTAGTCCTCAGTTTATGTCACTTGAAAAATATTATTTATCCTCTAAAATATATAATTATGCTTAATAAATATATTTTTAGAGGTCACTTAGAAATGATGACATGGGATTGTACACTATCAATTTTCTCGTGTAAAAAATAGTTAAGCCAAGGGTTTTGTATCTGCAGCTAACTGGGATTAGATTGGATAGAAAAGCATTTCTTACTCCACCCACTTCAGTCTCTCATTATCCATTTGAGAAACTTGGAGTCCTCCTGATCTATAGAAATTAATCTTTATGATCTATTTTCTTATGTACTAATTTCATTTTTCCAATATGTACAGCTAATGATATGCATCTATGGTTTTATTCTTTGAATCATACAAGAGCAGTTTATTACAAATACCAAGAAATGCTGTGGTAACAAATAGATTTATTTTACAATACTTTTATAAGTACAAATTGTGTAATACCCTAAATTTTCAATTAAAATTGTCCAATAACCCATGTTTAATATGTATTTTAGTCTAGAATATTTTTACATTTATGATAAATGCTATTGATTCTATCAGTAAAATAAACATTTTTTGTAGGTATAACTTTAGAATAGCATTGAATTTGAGCTATCAATTGTACTCTGGTAAATACATAAAAAATAAGACAAGAATAATTTGCATTTTCTTGCCTTTACAATCCTTTCTTTCTCGCTTACATTATAACAGTTTATTCTCTAAATAATAATAAGAAGCAATTATCTGTCTCAAGTCTTCTCAAGCTGCCAGAACAAAATACTAGAGATGGTGTAGCTTAAACAACAAAAATTTATTTTCTCATAGTTCTGTATGCTGGAAGTCCAAGACCAAAGTGCTGGTAAATTTGGCAATTGTTGAGGGCTCTCTTCCTGGATGATGGACAGTGGCTTTCTTTCCGTGTCCTAAAATGGCAGACAGAGTCAGAGCTGGTATATTTTCCTCTTAACCAAAGGTTACCACCCCTATCAGATTAGGGCCTGCGCTTCTGTCTTCATTGAAATTTATCACCTCCTCTCAGCCTATATCTTTAAACGTAATCAAATTAGGGTTTAATGTTTAATATGTGAATTTGGGGGAAACAGAAAACATTCAGTGCATAATACTGAATTAAATGAAAAGATGGGTACAGATAAAATGAAGAGTCAGAATATTTTAAAAATCTTGTCTCTATCTTCAAGGAATCTATTAATTTAAGGGGGGAAAATAAAAATAAAAACAATTCAGACTATTAAACTTACTTTATTATGCTAAAAGAATTCAAAACTTTAAAAATAACAACTATTAAATATGATACTTAGCAGTTCATGTTCACAACATTTTTTGTGAAAATGCTTCAAAACATTTTTTTCTTACCTCTCAGTATTTTAGTTTGCTACTTCAAATTTATAGCAATGTCAACATGATAATAAATATCCAAAACTATAGTATGATTATTGGTTAATTGGAAGTTTATTTGAGACAAGGACCGACAGGCTGAAATAGTGGGAAATTCATTTTACTGTGTCATGTAATTCAAAGATAGAAGTCTCCTAAAGATGTTCTTAACTCTTCTTGTATATAGTCAAAATCAAAATATTTGCACTACCTACTAATGTTGTGACAATAAACAAAACTGCATTAAATGAAAAAATTTAAAAATCTGACTATGCAAATATAAAATTGTATGCTAAATGCCTAAATAGTGAGCCTTGGATCAATTAATTATTATTATGGCAATCACTAAAGGGCACTTTTTTAGCAGGGGGCTACTGGGGATTGAACTCAGGGGCACTTGACCACTGAGCCACATCCCCAGGTCTATTTTGTATTTTATTTAGAGACAGGGTCTCACTGAATTGCTTAGCGCCTCGCTATTTCTGAGGCTAGATTTGAACTCCAGAGTCTTCTGTATCAGCCTCCAGAGCCCCTGGGATTACAGGCGTGCACCACCATGCCCAGCACTAAAGAGTACTTTTAATGTTACTGCTAAGTCTATAATTTTGTACTATATGTGAAAAGCAAAAGTTGAAAGAACATTTATGAATATTTAGTGGTTCTGTTCAGGGTCAGGAGATTGTAACTGTTGACATGACTTGAAGATTCCTATAGTCACTAACATTCTGAAGGAAATAGAGGTTTCTTGGAAGATTGTCATGAGAAAGAGAAGTATGGAGATTTAAAATTCCTGATGGAAAATTGGTACTTGTGTACACTTGAAGGACATGGAAAAAGAACAAGTGGCAAAAGTCACTATCCTGGACAACATGAAACAAGTCCTGGGAGAATGTAGACAGTAACTTCAAGGAGAATGGTTCAATTATTATCAAGTGCATAGACTGATACAAGTTTATATAAAACAGAGGAAAGGGTAAAAAAAAGAGAGAATACTTTTATCTGTTTGCTCAAAATCAATTCAATTGATTTATACTAATATGAAAGAAAGCTAGTTAGATTTGAAACTCCTTTGCTATTTTAAACTATTGCTTCTAATGAGACTTTCAAACCTCAGATCATGTCATATGTACACACACACACACACACACACACACACACACACACATATATATATATATATCTTCATATTTATGAATGCATATAGTTGTTTCATTAATTAAGCCTCATCATGGGTTTAAAGAAACAGCTAATTAGGTTCTGGACCAAAATGGTAGGAGAAATGACATAATGGCAAAATAAGACATGCATCTGAAGGGAAAAAGTGATGATACTGATGACAGATTGAATATAACATATGAAGAAGCAGGAATACAAATGATTCATAATTTTTTTCACTTGAGAAAAGAAACAACAAACATACTAAAAGTACTGACACAGAGAAATGGAAAACTTTGGAAGGTCGGAAAAGATAGGTCATTTGATGAACTAATTTTGGACAAGCAAAACTTGAGAAGAAAAAGAGACAGCAATCTTCAGGTGGTTTCTCTGCAAGAAAAAAATTGGAGAACAGAAAATAGGAAATACGTTAGACATTACAGATTTACAGGTTAAAGTACCAAAGATTCTATTACATGTAAGTATGTTCATTTAGCCAGTTTGAAAGCATAGCAATTGTTATTGCCTAATTTATTATTGGACAATTTGCTTAGCATAATTTCAATCTAAGGAAATAAAATATTTGCCATTTATTGAGGACTTGCTTTATTATCCCTATTTCCTAAATGAGGAAAATGAGATTCTCAAGGTGGAAATTCTGTAATTGGCAAAGTTATAGTGAAGGCAAGAGCTGCTAGAATCTAAATTCTGTGGTCCCTCCATTGACAGCACAGAAAAGTAAAATGGTATTTAACATGAAGATGGAGAAGTTGAGATTCTGGCACTCTGGTTCATGGTGGGAAGAAGGCCAATATTAGAAAAAAAAAAGGTTTCATATATAAAAATAAATAATGTTTTTCTTACTGTACAGTGGCTATGAATTCCAATAATTCACCTTCTAAGGATTTTATTCTGTGAGTATCCATCATGAAAGATAACTTCCAGATACTATAAAAGGCATATATATATATATATATATATATATATTTCAGTGTAAAACAATAATCTAAAAATTATATTTAGACTAATACTCTTCAAATAGAAAGCATCATAAAGAATGATCACATTATCATTATAAAGAGTTGTTTGGTTTACAACATGATTTATCAAATTTTTTCTAAATTTTCTGCTGTTTTCATGTGACAATGAATTTCATAAGGCTCAGTAAAATCTGTAATTTAAAACTAGTAGTAAAATGAGAAAAAAATATTAAAATCATCAAGCCACTTTTCATCATATATACAGATTGTTGTATTTCTACCAAAGCCATTGTGACCATAAGCTCACCCATTTTCTAAGCAGTTTTGAAAAGTATGTGCACCAATTCCTATTTTTGGTATACATAAAAGCATCCCTTGAGATAGCTCTAACAGCATTATGTGAAAGTACTCATTATGGGTTAAAGATAGATAAAAATAACAGCCCATAGCTAGTTTCTCTTTTTCTTAGATATGAATTGTATTACATAGCAGTTTGCTCTTGTTCTGCATGTTTGGTTATCATATTTGCTAAACCTTTCTTTCCTAAAGGAGTGATTATTAATATTTTCACCCTCATTTCCAAATACAAATAGTCCTCTCCTTACTATGAAAAATGGTATAAACTACCATTTCTCATTTTCCATGGGATGTTAATTGATGAAGGAGAGGAAAATACATGGATGATAATTACCTCCGGTTATTCCTCACTCTAGTACACCTTCATCCAAATTATCTCTGAATTTAACTTTATTACCTGATCAGTTATGGTAGAGATAATATAAATATCATTCTTTTAAATATTTCAAAAAAAACTCATGTTTATATTAATTGGGACACTTTTAATCACAAAAATTTACTTCAACTAATAGTTAAGCAAAAAATAAATTAATTAATTAAAAAAAATAAAAAGAAGAAAAAGTTTGGTTTTTCCTGTAACTAGCAAGTTCCTGAAGTTAGAAACTTTGTAGCTGGATCCAGATGCTCTCTAAGGCCAGAATCTCCCTTTTGTAACTCTGTACTCTTCTGTGTTTATTTTCATAATAGTTCTTCTCAGAAAAAAAAATCAACCGTGGCTACCAGAATATTAAAAGCTACAGTTTAGCTGTAGAAGAATTTCAGAATCCTACTTCAGAAAAATGCCCCACTCAGCTAAAGACTTGAGGAAAATGCTTCATCATTTGGACTGAATGAAAGTTATACTAACAAACTGTCACTGCAATCATCTGAGGTAACAAAAACAATAGGCGCATAATACAACCAGTTTTTATGCATTTTGAAATTTATTTTTCAACTACTACATAAAAACAAAACTAAACATATTAATGAGGGTTGGTAAAACATGTTGATTCATGTATTCAATGTGTAATGCTTAAATCACGTTAATCATATCTATCTTCTCAAACTTTGGTTGCTACTGTATGTTGAAAACTTTCAAAATATTGTCTTGTAGGTTTTTGAAACATCCAATACATTATTGTTGCTGGTTCACCCTACCACACCTGAACTCCATGCTTCAGTCCAACTGTAACTTATTCACCATCTCTTCCCACCGCCACTCCCAAGCTCAGGTAATTAACACTGTATTCTCAGTTTCAAGGAGATTCAATGTTTTAGATTCACATCTGAGGGAGAAAATTTGGTACTTTTGTTTCTGTGCCTGGCTTTTTTCTCTCAATGTAATTAATTTAAGTTCCATCCAAGTTGTAAATGACAGGATTTCATTCTTTATTTATAGCTGAGAAGTATTCCATTGTGTATATGTACCACAATCTCTTTAACCATTTATCAGTTGATGGTCACTCAGATTGTTTCTATTTCTTTTTTTTTTTTTTTTTGTGTGTGTGTGTGTGTGTGTGAATAGTGCTGCAATAAACATAGACCTCACAGATGTCTTTTCAAGACCTGGATTTCATTTCTTTTGGATATATACTGTGGAGTAGGATGGCTGAATCATATGGCAGTTATATTTCTAATTTTTTGAGTAAACACGACACTGTTTCTATAAAAGCTGTAATTTACATTCCCACCAACAATGTGCAGAACCTAAGATTTCCCCTTTTCAACATCCTGGTAAGTACTTGTTATCCTCCATTTTTCTGATAGTAAGACTTCTTCCTATGGTAAGGTGATAGCTCATTGTAGCTTTAATTTTCATTTCCCTGATGTTTAGTGGTGTTGAACATTTTTTTTCATATATCAGTTTTCTATATATATATATGTATTCTTTTGGAAATGTCTATTATTCATTTTTAAACTGAGTTGTTCTTCTGCAATAGACTTTCTAGAGTATCTTGTATAATATCAATATCAGCCCCTCATCCCATGTATAGTTTGCAAGTATTTTCTCCTATTCTATAGGTTGTCTCCTAACTCAGTTGATTTTGTCTCTTAATATTAAGAAACTTTTAAATTTGATAATATCCCATTTACCTAATTTTTTCTTCTGTTTTCTGTACTTTTAAGGTCTTGTCCAAAGAAGTCCTTCCCATTGTAATGTCATAATGTATTTTATGTACTTTTAGGAAAGCATTTGATAGGAAAACTCACTGTGAATAACAGTTTACAAGCTCCTGTAGGTTATTCTAAAGCACAGACAAATTTGATAACACTCGTTAATATTCTGTAATGTTTTCTTTTTTATCTCAAATACTTTGAAAAGTGTTACGAACTAATAAATCTCAACATATATCATGTTTCAGAGAAGCAGTTTCTCTACATTCATTAGAATAGCATATATGAAATAAAATTATTTTCTGTGTTTTTACACCTTCTTTAGTTGAAAATATTAGAATTTATCAAACTGTATTGTAATTCGATGTTTAAATCTCTCCTTTACCCTAAACTGGTAACACTTGAAAGTGTGCCCTGTTTTCTGTGTCTGCAATTCTAGTATCTTCTGAAGTGTTTATTACTTAGTAGATACTTTGTAAATGTTTGACAACTTGTTACTACCAACAAAATTGTGTATTCTTGTAGTTGAGTATATATCAAATATTAAATTGTTAACTTTTGTAGAATTATGTTAGAGACAGGCACATACCCTTTCCCACCTTAACTAGAGAACTATTTAGATCCTTCAGACTATCCCCAATCATGTTTTGAAGAAACAAGTCACTTTAAAATGTCTGCTGCAATACAAAATAATAAGTGGGGGTTAGGGACATAGCTCAATGGTAGAGCATTTGTCTAGCATGTGCAAGGCCCAGCGTACAAACCCCAGGACTGTAAAAATGATGATGACAATAATAATAAGTGGGAAAATTGTTAGATGAACATTTTGGGTATTTGGAAGATGTTATATGCAAGAATTTTAGAAATACTATGAAGTATTTAGAGGCAATTGAGCAAAACATACTGAATGTTTTCTTTTTATGCTTCCTTGTCAAAACTGGTTTAATATATTGTGTACATTATCATAAACATAGGAGGATTTTCTTCTGAATAATATGTGAAGTATATGGTATATAAAATGAAATGCTTGTTGCCCTGAAATACTGTTCCTATCAATATCTTAAAATCGAAGAAAGAAACTGATGTTTGTTTTCTTTTATTTTCTATTTCTTTAAGTATATGGTATATAAAATGAAATGCTTGTTGCCCTGAAATACTGTTCCTATCAATATCTTAAAATCGAAGAAAGAAACTGATGTTTGTTTTCTTTTATTTTCTATTTCTTTATCTATCTGTCTTTCTGAGTTATTGTTTATTTTTATTATCATTATAAAAGGTTGGGAAAGGTTGACACTTTATCAGTGTTTTAGATTTCTGAGAATCACTTTTCTCTTGTCTTACTCAATCTTACAGCAAGTATTACATTCAACACATGCTAGAAAATTTGTTTTAAAATTTTAGTTGATGCAATAAGCCTACAAATACTATGCCTATTTTAATGCTGAAAGTAAAAAAGGGGAGATATTAAAGAACAAATATGTAAACAAAACTTGCCTGATATTGCACTTATAAGTGTCTAGAAGATCTAACTCAAATACATCTGACTCTGAAAACTGGGTTCTTTGTGTTTCACTACAAATACAATCTTAGTGTATGTCTAGTAGCTGGTAAATAGTAAGTCTTATCCCCCATACTCGCCATTCTTAATTTCGCACAATTCCTTTCATATGCTAAGTAAAATTTTGACCTGTCATTTGAAATGAGGGGTATAGCCCAGTGGTGGAGTGCTGGGCTACATGCATGGCTAGCATGCATGAGGCCCTGGGTTCAATCTCCAGTACTTTCTCCCTAGAAAAAAAAATAGCCAAAATATTTGGTAGTGTGCTAATGGGGATCCAAGGATATTTTTCTTCAACAGAGATAAGATGAAGCATGGCCTTTTGTCATTCTTTGTGAAAGTATCTGGAACCTGACTCAATGAGGAATGAATTTTAAAGTACACATTTATTCACTGACCAGTCAGGGGAAGCCAGACACTGATTTCAATTTGACAACATCAAACGTGACTGCTAAAGACACAAATTCCCACTGCCTCATTAAAAAAAAAAAAAAAAAAAAACAGCAATACTTAAACTTTTTGAACTTATAACTCTTGGAACCAGTATATCTAAGTACTACTTCAGGTGGCTCTTTTAATCGTCACCTCCCTGTGAAGTGACAGAGGCCTTAATGCTCCTTTTTAAGTCAAAAGAGATGTTTTCCTCAGCAGGTGCTTTCCATTTATGAGAACTTAACATGTTTCCTATCCTGACAGTTAAAAAAAGGGAAAAGACAGGCTTCTAGAAAGAAGATCTATAACTGCTACTTACCACCAGGTGGGGGATAAAAACACCCTGCTTTTTACATTATCTAAAGTAAAAATAACTTGCATAATATAATATTTCACTTAGATCTTAAAAAATTTGACCATCTAATATCCAACAGTCTTTCTTAAGATTACACAGACAAAATTTCTTATGTATAGGAAGATAATGCTGAAAATAATTTTAAGTGTAGATATTAAGCTCATATCCATAAAATTCTCAGCTCAAATCTCTATTCCTATATTCAACCCCAAATCCTCTCCTTGGAAACATTTATCTGTAAACCAGTTTAGGCGGATATAGCAATGACCCATCATTTCTTTGTATTTTTTTTTAATTTTTATTTTTGATTGACACATCATCCTATCCATCTCCTTATCATTTCTTTGTGGTAAGAATATTCTGAATCCTCTCATCTATTTTGAAATATACAATGCATCCTCTCTTTTTAATAATTTGTTCAGATAATACATTATCAAAATAGAAAAGCATCTAAAATGTCTAAAATCTAAAAAAGAAAGAAATTGAAATTACCTACAAACTCATATCACCAAAGATAATCATTCTGAACACTTCTGAGCATATTGTGCATATTCTTTTGCAGTGTGACACATAATAAAACATTTACAATTTTGTATCATCCAATTTTTCTTAAATGTAGTGTCAATAGTTAGATAACTCAATTTATATGTACTATATCATCTTAGTGTTATCTTTTATAATCATAAAATATTGTTCAGAACTAGTCATATTTTAATGTTTAAAATTTTTCAATACACTAAATAGTTTTAGTGAACATCTTATTTTATATATCTTTGCATACATTTCCTGAAGACAACCTCCCCCCAAAAATGGTATTGTTGAATTAAAATATACATTTTTAATTTATTTTTTATTTGTTCTAATTAGTAATACATGACAGCAGAATGCATTTTGATTCATTGTACAAAAATGGATCACAACTTTTCATTTCTCTGGTTTTACACAATGTAGAGTTGTACCACATGTGCAGTCATACATGCACTTAGGGTAATGATGAGCATTTACCACTTGCACATCAGATAGAGCACAATTTCTAGGGTATGTAAAGAACTCAAAAAGCTAAACACCAAGAAAACAAATAGTCCAATCAATAAAGGGATCAAGGAACTGAATAGACACTCCTCAGAAAATGATATACAATCAGTCAAAAAATATATGAAAAAATTTTCAACATATCTAGCAATTAGAAAAATGCAAATTTATGGCTCACTCCCACTATTGGGCATTTAAACCAAGAAGCCTCAAACTGTTGGGAACAACTAAACCATACCTATGACACATGGTTTAAGGCTACTCAAGAATTAGGATGGACCCTAAAGTCGCTATGCCAACAAATTATAATTTTACAAGCCAATGCTTGGTTTAGAACAGATTGGCTCTCTAGACCTAAAATTATTTGGCCAGAACCCAATGGGACTCAATGGATATGTGGAACTACTTACGGCCCTGGCTTCCCCCAGGCTGAATAGGGAGATGTACTATTGGGTACACTTGGATGCAGGGGAGATGGACCTCAAATATAAAGAAGCCAGCAAACCTCCCCAATCTCGAACATAGATGGGGACAATCTGTGTTTTGTTAGTATGACCATCTAGTTTCACTGTTTATCCCACAAATTGGTTTAGAAGATGTAATGTGGCATGTAGAGACTTTAAACAATTATACTCAAACTGTTGAGGAAAGTATCTCTTTCCTTAACACTGAAATAACACTTATGAGGAAGACCACCTTACAAAACTGGATGGCTTTAGATGTCCTCACTGCAGCTCAAGGCAGTACTTGTGCCATTATTAAAACTGAATGCTGTGTTTACATCCCTGACAATTCGGGCAATGTGACTAATATCCTTAAAGATTTACATTCTTAGATAGAAGCCATGTCCTTGCCAACCTTGTCATGGGAACAATATCTTAGCTCCTAGTTCTCTGGTACTTCCTGGTGGAAAACATTGTTAGTCTCTGTCATCGTCATCATACTTGTTGGCATATTCCTATGCTGTGGCATTTATTGTTGCATTAATCTGGTTCCAGTATTAATAACTTCTTGTACCTCTTATAGACCACCCATCACTCAAATGGCCCTACAGCCTGTTACTTCTCAATCGGACTTCTATCATGGGCCACTCAATAGACCTGATTTTTAAGAAGGGGGACTCCAAAACTGCTTTCTCAACACCAACCACTTTCAGCTCAAAGAAGCCAGAATGGTCCTCGCTCCCTTTCCTTACATCAGTAAGGAGTTCCCAAAATTAGAGGGGGGAATGAAGCCAGATTTAAAGATAGGTAGTTAGTGTAGTTAGGTAAATCGGGTCTAATATGAAGTAAGATGAAGATGGAGCCCATCCCAAAGAAATGTTAATGAAGCAGCTCCCAGCAAACATGGAGATGCTAATCCAAAAGTTCTTCTTGCTCAGATTACTCCTTCAGCCTACCTGTCCCCCACCCTTTGGGCCTTCCCACCTACATTCCAGCATTGCAAGATAACAGAACAAAGGACAGGAATGCAACAGGAATGTGAGACATCTGAAAGTAAACCTTAGCTATAAAAAGGGTAAGAAGACCTTAGTTTAAAAAAATCCCTTTCATGGATTCTACCCCTTTGGGTCTCCTTCTTCCTCCAGGGAGAAGTCTTTTCTACTGTTCTTTAATAAAGCTTCAACTTTCCACTCTAAAAATAAATAAATAAAAATAGAAACACACACACACACACACACACACACACATATATATATATATATAAAGAAAAAAATTTAAAAATGTTAAAAAAGATAGAAATTGGAGAAAAAAAGGAAAAACAAAATTAGGAAAAAAAGAATATACAACACAACTGTAATATACTATTCAGTCATCTCAGTCCTCAATATCCTAATTCATGCAAAGTACTTGGTTTCACATTTGTTGGGGGTGTGACAGTGGGAGAATAGAGAGAGAGAAGAAAGGAAAAAAGAAAAAAAAAAACCTTGAAGGAAGAAACATGGATTGTTTTGGTTGGAGATCAGTATTTTTCCTGTTTCCCTTCTCATCCAATAGGTGGATCTGTCTGTTGTTAGCTGATTTCTCAGCTCTCAGGATGCTGAAGGTAACCAGGGAGGGAGAGTTGCTCTTGGGTGGAGGGCACCTGGAAGTGGGGTGTGGCACCTGCCAATCCTCAAAGGGAGACTGCACCTCAGGGATCACTTTTAGGGCCTGCTCCTATGATGTGAGCACTTGCTCTTATCTCCCTATCTCTCCTGAAGACCTCCCTGTTCCTGGTCTCTGTTAGCCTCTAAACGGTATCTTGCTCACCTTCTCCCTTACTACTTCCTAATAAGGGACCTTTCTCTCTGGGACTCTTGAGGTGGTGCTTTGTGTGCAGCATACCTGCCCAGCTGAGAACTGTTTTGTGTTGGGGAGCCACTGTGCCAGGTTAGCAGCTGCTCAGGAAAGGGGGGAATTAGAAACTGGGTGCCTGGTCAGCCAAATTTCCAAACTGGGAGTTGAAACTACTAATGATGGTGATGAAGGTGACCCAAGATGGAGGCATTTGCTTTCAGTGATGAGGTGTCAGGTGTGTGGGGGATAGGTGGCCAATGGCTTTGGGTGATAAATTCAGAGATTGGGTCTGTGGCAAGCAGCATGTGGCTGTGGCTGCCTTGAGAGCCTGTGTGAAGTTCCCCAGGATTAAGGCAGCACTTTCCCCATATGTTTCTAAGACAAACTCAACATGCTCTTAAGCCACCCAGTGAAGGTTGATTCAAAGCAGGTAACAGGGCACAATACCCTGTAGGATGCAGACTCTAGCAAGGGCTTTCACATTGTATCCACTGAGAAACTGCTGCTGAAAAGCTAATAATGGATTCCAACTTGTAGGCCAATTTGGTACAAATATGTCAACTGGATTTTTTCTTTTAAAACTCTTGCTGATGACATTAAGATCATTGATATGGTTGGAAGCACAGGATTTCAACACAATGGGCAACAAACCACGGGTTAACCTTTCAGAATGTTGTACTTCACCATCTGTATGATTAGCTCCACACACTTATATCAATGTATCTGTGTTGCCGAATGCTTTCTTAACAGTGTAAACAGAGACTCATTAAGTAAAGGTATGTTCAACTGCAAGAAGGTATTATATTTGCCTGAGTTTGCAATAGATTAACATATTGGGACATGATCATGTTATTGTTTATTCACATAAGTGGTATATTGTTTTTATAATTTCACAGTCTAAATTAACCAATAAAAATGATCAAAGTTCTCAATTTTGTTTATAACTGAAGTTCAGCTCTTAGAAATAATTTTTGCAGGGTTGGAAATTAATTCTTCTTAATTCAATATAGCAACAGATAATTCTAATCTTTTTTTTCCAAGATGACCTGACTACTTAGTAGGCTCACATATCATCAGTGCTATGATTATAAATGTTTAAAAATCAGTTCACCAGAGTGAAAAATACAAAAGACCTCAGTTTTTGTGGTTTCAAAATTCATGGTATGAATATTTCCATGGTGGCCAGTTTCAAGCTTCCAACTGTACATCATGAGTGCAGGGTTGGAAAATGATACCACAGTTAGCTCTAGTGAGATGATTTTAGTCAATTCCAGTAGAGCATTCTCTGAGGTTCTGGAATTGGGCCCTGACAGTTGTTGCAGTACTGTCTTCTGTCCACATTGCCTTCTGTGCAGGTCTTTTACTGTTTGATATTGAGAATTGGCATCTGTCTTCATCATCAGCCTCACTGGCTGCTGTATTTTCTCTGACCCTATGAAACACACAAAGCATGGTGACTATTCTGGAGAAGATGGCAGGGTCATTCCTCCCCATGGCTCTGCCCCAAACGTGGTTCGATTGTGACTTTGAGGCTCCTGCCATGGAATGAATAATTCCCTCAACAATTTCACAGCAGCTGGGTTAGTATTTATTTCTCTCTGGGACTTCAAATCTGAACATTTTTGGAAAGTATACACTTTCTATTCAAGCTGAGGGAAATTTAGAATGCAGGATGTCTCAGACCTTCATCAACCAAGCAGTCCACATCACACATTTCTACTCTACTGCAGTGATGTTGATCTGGGTACACTCATGTATTCTTTGGATAGCCCCAGATAGTCAGTAGCTTAAGATACACCTCTTCTTTCAGATCCTAAATATAACAGTTGACTGTAATAGATGTCAGTCCCTTCTCTACCACACCTCAGGCTTTGCCCTAGTGATGGCAGCAGTGTGTAAGAGCACAGCCCACACTGGCACCTTCCCTCATGTGATGTTTTAGTAATCTTCCAAAAGCTTCCAATTCCAGTAGTTTCGTGTCTTTCTTGCTTTCAGGAAAAGAGCTCTCACTTAGTTATTGTATCATTCCTGATTTTGCTGCTCATGGATAGAATCTAGCCTTGAGTTTTCAAGGTTTATCTTAGGATAAAAAAAAAATCCTGATATTTAGAATTGCATTTAAAACCAATAAACATTTTATTTATTTATTTATTTTTCATAATTTCTTGGCTGTTGATAATCAGAAGCATATTGGATTTTACATGACTTTTTGACAGTTTAAAAGTATACGTTTTTAAATCAGAGCTGAATGATGTTTCTTTTGTTTGTTTTTTTAAGTACTGGGGATATAATGATGGGCAAGACTAACACATCCTTCACCTTGAGAGAAGTTGTAGTCAAATTGTTTTGCATACCAGTTTCTGAAACAAACAAAAACACAGAATACTACAATAAGAGGTAAGCCATGTTGAGAATACATCTCAACCACTGTGAAAGAAAGGTAAGTAAGAGAAGAAGGAAAAAAAAAAAAAGAAGCAGCTTTATTTATTCTGAAAGAAAGTTATACTATAACTATTGCTGAACATGTTGCAAGTATAAAGGCTAAAATACACTTTGCTTCTCATTGTCTTGAACATCCCGGACAAAACCATGTTAAGGATTTCTTAGGCAAGATGAGACATCTTTCTTGCTAGTGATTAGAAAGATGCTCAAGTTTGCAGTGCTAGCCGTGGATACAAGCTTCCATCTTGTTAGTAATTAACTTAAGGATTTCAAATAAAGACTTTAGGATGGTTTTGAGGAAATTTCCTCCATGGTGGTATTTTTGTTGATGTTGGGTTTTTTTTTTTTTTTTTGGTCTTTTTTCATCTAGACAAATGGTGACATTAACCATTGAAGTAGTATTGTTAATTTTTGAGTTGGCCAGTGGGAAAGAAATTCCTCTCTATAAAGTGATTATTCTTCGCACCAAGTGGGCAGATCTTGCTGACTCCTCTTCAATGGAAGAATAAAAAAGAGAAAAATATCAATATCTTAGAGGTTACAAGATAATAAAGAAAAATATTTCACCTCTGAAAATTCTTATTAACAATTTTTGATGTAACCAAAATGTTTTTGTATATTGGAGTTACGTCTCTTAATGTCACTATATTATATAAAAACTGATAAATTTTAAAAATAGCTATTTATTTATTTATTTAACATAGCAATAATGAGCTTCTTAACTGTGGCATAAATAACATATTATGATAAATAGTTACTTCTTATAACAACAACAAAAAAGAATGGTGGCATCTGATATTTTTGGAAACTTTTCCATGACCAGAATTTCATATCCATTTCTGTTCTTTATTTTGTTTTGTCATTTTGTTTGTTTTGAACATATGGAGAAATTCTGACTTCACATATATGTTTCTCTGTGAGAGAGACTTTAATATCTGATAATTATGAGTGTTCTTCTTTGGAACTTCACCAGAACTTGTCAAGTAATAATTACTTAAAAATGAGTTATCATGTGAGACCTGAAACCAGCTCTCTAACACTGAGCTACGCCCCCAGCCCTATTTTGTATTTTATTTAGAGACAGAGTCTCACTGAATTGCTTAACACCTCACTTTTTGCTAAGGCTGGTTTTGAGCTCACCATCCTCCTATCTCAGACTCCCAAGCCACTGGGGTAAAGTCATCTGCCTTAGCGCCCAGCTAAATTTCTTATTCAATTGCATTCTTCTGACTTGTCTTTCATGTGAGAATCTTCAAATATATGATGGGCTTTCTATCCTCATTCATACGTAAATGAAAGTGGCAAAAAAGCTTATTACATGCCCTGTGTGTTTGGTAGGACCTTATTTCAGACTGAGTTGGCATGATTTGTCTGGACACTTCCAGTCAGAAATATAAGTTGGTCTTTTCCCTTAGAAAGTTACTCCAGAGAGTAATAATATGATCTTATCCTGGCTAATGTAGACTGATATAAACCTGGTTATTATGTATTTACTTGGCTACCAAGTAAATACTCTTAAAATGTATATTTTAATCCATGAGTCAGAAAGGTATTGCCTGTGGGCCAAATATAGTGTGCTTTTATAAATTAAAGGTTTATTAAAGCCCAACAATGCACACTCATTCACATATTGCCTAATACTACTTTCAGCTACAATGTCAGAATTAAATAATTACAACATAAAACATATCAACTGAAAAGTTTCAAATATCAATTAACTTTCCTTTACAGAAAATATTTGCCAATCTTTTGTCCCTGTTTCTAATATGTTTCTTTTCTATTCTTTTTCCCCCTGAGCTATTATCATTGCTGTCTATGTGTCTACTATCTTGGTGTACAGTAAATCCTAGTTTACTTTCCCATAGGTGATGTTCATTTTCTGGCTTAGAGTAGACTAGGCAAATCTTGTCTTGGTGGATAAGGGGAGGACTTCAGAATTGACCAGGCCATCAACTGATTCCTTTCCAGTCTTGCTCTACACTTTTTCTTCTTTGATTAGTTAATTATAGTTCTATATAATAGTTGGATTCATTTTTTTGCAAGATTACAGATGCATGGAAATTGATTTACTTCATTTCAGTCTATGATCCCACCCTTTCCTTCTTCTCTTCTCTTTCCATATTCTCCTTCTTCTACTCTACCAGTCTTACTTTTACTCACTTATTCATTTTTTTATTGGCGCTTTATAGATATACATAAAATTAAAATTCACTGAAGACATTTATATATGTTTTTACACATGGAGAAATTTTGTTAAGCTCCTTATACATTTCCTCCCTTTGTTGACCTCGTACACTGCTATTTTGCTGAATGCATTTATGGCCTCGAGAAGGCTTCTAGTGGAGATTTTTGGGTCGTCTAGATATAAGGTGATGTCAATAGAGATAATTTGATTTCTTCCTTTCATATTCATATTCCTGTAATTTCTTTCTTGCCTGATTGCTTTGGCTAGAGTTTCAAGAACCATAATGAACAGGGGTAGAGAGAATGGACATCCTCATCTTATTTCTGATCATAGAAGAAATGTTTTCACTTTTCTATGCAAAATGATGTTAGCTTTGGTTTTGTCATGCAATCCTTTATGATGTTTAGGTAAGTGAATTCTATTTTTAGTTTCTTTGGCATTTTTAAAATAATTTGGTGCTCAATTTTATAAAAGCCTCTACCACATTTATAGACATTATCATATGATTCTTATCCTTATATCTTTTTAGTTGGTGACATATATATGTATATATGTATACATGTGTGTGTGTGTGTGTGTGTGTGTGTGTGTATTTGTGATGTTGAACCATCCAACCTTGTATCCCTGGAATAAAAACCATTTGATCATGGTGTATTATCTTTTTAATGTGTTTTTGAATGAGGTTTGCTAATGTTTATTAAGGATTTTTGCATCTGTGTTCATCAGGTATAGTGGTCTATAGTTTTCTTTCTTTTAAGTGTCCTTATCTTCTTTGGGTATCAGAGTCATGCTGACTTCAGAGAATACATCTGAGAATGTTCTTTCACTTTCAATTTTATAAAATAATTTGAGAAAGGTTGGTTTTAGTTCTTCCTTGAAGATCTGGAGAACTCCATTGAGGCCCCATCTGATCCTGAGCTCTTCTTCATCAAAAGGCTTTTAATTATATTTTCAATTTCATCATTTGATAGTGGTCTGTTTAGGTTTTCTATATCTTCCTGGTTTATTTTGTATAGCTCATTTGTGTTTATAAATTTGTCAATATCTCCTAGAATTTCCAGTGTGTTAGAGTCCAAAATTTCAAAATGATTTCTTATGATCCTCTGAATTTCAGAAGTATCTGTGGTGAGCTAGGCGTGGTGGTGCAATCCTGTGACCGAGTCACAAGGATCTGGAGTTCTCAGCAAAAGTGAGGCACTAAACAACTCAGCGAGTCTCTGTCTCTAAATAAAATACAAAATAGGGCTGGGGATGTGGCTCAGTGACTGATTGCCCCTGAGTTCAATCCCTAGTACCAAAAACAAACAAACAAACAAACAAAAAACAAAGAAAAGAAGTGTCTGTGGTGATATCCTCTTTTTTATCTTTAATTTTATTTGAGTCTTCTCTTAATGTGTTTTTATAAGTTTCTTGCTATATGGTTTTGACTTCTTAGGCAAATGATTTGTCTATCTCTATCTCATTTCAGAATAAAGTGATAAAATGTCTCTTGCTTATATATGTAATTTTTCTCACTGGGCACTTTTTTATTTCTTTTCTTTTTGTGATAAAATAACCTCCTTTATTTAAATTTTGCCAAGGATATGCTAACATATCTGGTTGTTTGATTAATCTTTTCCACATTCTGTTGTCTCTATAAATCAAAATATTTGTGGAGTTCTTCTATTCTCTTTTAGAGTTCTGGAAGAAATATAGATAAATGTTCAATACATCACATTAAATTTGAATCTATCCACATTTAATTCTTTGTGTATATTTTACATAAAATTGGGTTTTTATATGTAGCCTAATTAATAAATATTTTAAACAATGTTATAGGAGATCTAAGCATTTCACAATTTAAAAAATTTCTGAGCTTTGATCTAAAAGTATGTTGTGTTTGTGTGTATGTTTGTACACTCCCTAATTGAAGACTGAGAAACCCATGTAAATGTGCCTTACAGTTTTGTGAGGTTTCATTTTATGTCTCAGTGGTATGCAATTTGGTGAATAAAAATTCATGACATTTTTAACTGGACTGTTCAGCTCAACAATAAAAACTGGTATCTGGGACCTATTGAATGCTTAAAATTTGTATTGTATATAAAAGGAAAACAGTTCCACAGAGCTTTTGTTGGGAAAATCTCAGGATCATAGATTATTTTTCTCCTCCCTGTTCTCTAGGAGAACCTCTTTTAACTTAGTAAATCTTTATGATGTTTGGATGTTTATATTGTTACACATTGACATATATTATTGGTATTATTTATTTTGAGATTTATCAGCTGTACTTACATACATGTAAAATCATCCATTGTAGTATGTTTATTTACTACATTTAAATAGACCTGTGTCCTAATCCCTAGTGTCCATTCATATCCTACATACATGTCAAAAGAGTCATTGATGATTTAATAAAGGTTAAGGACCCTGATATAGAGATAGTATCCTGAGAGTTTGAAGCAGCATTTTTTTTAAAAAAAATATTTATTCTTAAGTTTTAAGTGGACACAGTATCTTTATTATATACTTATGTGGTGCTGAGGATGGAAACCAGTGCCTCGTGCATACTAGGCAAGCACTCTACCACTGAGCCACAACCCCAGCCCTGAAGCAGTATTTAAAAACAAAAACAAAAACAAAAACAAAAAATCCCAGAAGAATGTAGTTATAACTTTGACACAGAAATTCTCTGCTTAATATGAATATCAAAATTTCATTAGTTGAATGAAAAAAGATAAACCGAACTATATTAATATT